AATCCCTCGGCGGGCGGGGAGGGGGTGGGGGGCTCTTGGGGGAAGAGGAGTAGCACAGGCAGGGCCATGGGGCCGAGTGGGAGCAGGGCCTGGGGCGGAGCCACTGCCCAGACGCCCTTTCGGCAGCAGCACTCCAAAGGTGGCAGGCCTCGTGTCTGGGGCGACGTAGCCTCCCCTGGCCTCTTGTACCCGCTGCCCATGGGTAATGACACGTCCTCATTCACTTTCTCCGCACCCGTCGTGATTGTATAGATCTCAATCATATCCCCCCTTAGTTGTCTTTTTCCAAGCTGAAAAGTCCCAGTGTTATTAATCTCTCCTCAGACGGAAGCCGTTCCATATCCCTAATCATGTCTGTTGCCCTTCTCTGAACCTTTTCCAATTCCAATCTAGCTTTTTTGAGATGAGGTGACCACATCTGCACGCAGTATTCCAGATGTGGGCGTCCCATGGATTTATATAGCGGCAACATGATATTTTTTGTCTTATTATCTATCCCTTTCCTAATGATTCCCAACATTCTGTTCGCTTTTTTGACGCCGCTGCACAGTGAGTGGATGTTTTCAGAGAACTCGCCACGAACCCGAGAGCTCTCTCGAGGGGTCACAGCTCACTCAGACCCCATCATTTTGTAGGTATAGTCGGATCCGACTTTGACATTTTGCACGGCTAAGGGACTCAGTGCTGGAGGCAAGCTGCACTGATCCTATGCACAGGTCCGGCGCAACCCATTAGGTGACCTAGGCGGTCGCCTAGGGTGCTACAATTTGGGGGGCAGCGACCGCGGCGGCATTTTGGGGTGGGACCTTCCGCCGCCTAGGGCGGCAGAAAAGCTGGCAGCACTCCTGCCTATGCACCGACTTTAGAAAGGGGTGGATAATTTTGCAACCACCTGTAGCAATACGTATGCAAACTGATCCACCAGCCAGCACCATGCTCTAGCCGTGGGGCCCACAGAGCCAGGGAGCATGCCCTCTGGGCTACCGCTAGCCCTTCCCCCTTGGTACGGGGCCCCTAGTGGAGGAAGCTAGGCCACATACACACCCTGCCCTGTGACCTGTAACCTTTCCCCTTTACCCCTTGTGACGTTGTGCAGTCTATATGGTTTTATAAAAAAATTAATAAGTGAATATAATGTAACTGGAATATGCTTCATGCAAAAGGTCTCTTGTAAGGTATCATTACAAAGCTTATAATCTGCTGAGTGTGATCATCCTATTTGTAGAAATGTATCATTCTTGTATCTGAAACTAGAAATATGAAATATAACTCTGAGGCCTATTGTAATTATGTAAAGTGTGGGCCATTAATGGTGGTTTGGACTCTTGATGGCTCCCATTAACCAGGACCATTGTCTGCAGATGGCTGTGTTTTACCTGAGTGTCTTCCTGTATGTGTGTGCTGGCAAGTGGGTAATGAAGTCTTGAAGTGACATGTGATCATGTCACCTGAACTGGAATCCATCTTTAACCTGGTGCTTTTCCAGTGAGGGGGGTGGAAACCCAGAGGGACAAAGGGTCCCCGCCTTATGCAAAAGATATATAAAGGGGTGGAACAGAAGATGGGGGGGGAGAGAGAAGAGCCATCATGAAGAATCCCCTAGCTATCACCTGAGGTGTAACAAGAGCTGTACCAGGGGAAAGAATTGTGCCCAGGCCTGGAAGGTGTCCAGTCTGAGAAAAAACTTACTGAAGCATCACTAAGGGTGAGATTATCTGTCTTTAGTTTGATTAGACATAGATTTGCGCATTTTATTTTATTTTGCTTGGTGACTTACTTTGTTCTGTCTGTTACTACTTGGAACCACTTAAATCCTCCTGTCTGTATTTAATAAAATCACTTTTTCTTATTAACTCAGAGTATGTATTAATACCTGGGGGAGCAAACAGCCGTGCACATCTGTCAGTGTTCTAGAGGGCGAACAATTTATGAGTTTACCCTGTATGAGCTTTATACAGGGTAAAACGGATTTATTTGGGTTTAGACCCCACTGGGAGTTGGGCACCTGAGTGTTAAAGACAGGAACACTTCTGTGAGCTGCTTTCAGGTAAACCTGCAGCTTTGGGGCAAGTAATTCAGACCCTGGGTCTGTGTTGGAGCAGATGGGTGTGTCTGGCTCAGCAAGACAGGGTGCTGGGGTCCTGAGCTGGCAGGGAAAGCAGGGGTAGAAGCAGTCTGGGCACATGAGGTGGCAGCTCCCAGGGGGTTTCTGTGATCCAACCCGTCACAGCCCCCATCAGTGATTCCTCCAGATCAGGTTCTACCCCAAGGCCCGAGACCGCTCCGCAGCCGGCTCCCTGTCCCCAACACCCCTCCTTCCTGCCTTCACTTCTTCCTAATTGCCCTGCCCGGCAGCCCATCTACACTGGGGCTGCTCGCGCACTTCCCACCTATCACTCAAGGGGTAGGTCCGGCACAGTGCTCATCGGCAGACCACGAGGACGCACCAGCCAGCCCGCTCCACGTTACAGTCCCACAGCAGTTTGAAGGCAAGTGCCCCGCCAAGCATTACACAGCGCCGAGGTTGGTGCGCTCATTCGAGGCAGGGCAAGCAGCACTGGCTACGCGAAGGGGCCTTTCCCCTGGCAGATCCTGGGTTTCAACGTGCTTAGAACTTGGCCAAACTTTTACCATTGGGGCTGAAATTCCCCATGCCAGGCTTTTGCCTAAGGTGAATTTTTTGGTTCAGCAACTATATTAACTAGCACGAGGTTAGAAAACAGCAGGGTTTGTCCCGTTAAAAACCCTCCCAACTCTTTCAGGGAAGTTCTAGCGGGAGGTGTAATAGGTTTGGACTTCACGGTCCCAATGAAGGGAATATGACAAACCAGTAATGAACCTGGAATCACAACTGCTCTGGCGTGGGCACTGCAAAGCTACTGGTAGAGACGGATTCCACAGGACCCAGTCACAACCTGCGTAAAGCGAACTGCTGCTTCTCCCAGGTGCTCACCACACGCTCCCAGCTGTAGCACCAGCTCTGTGCCACACTCCCGTTGAGGAATCGCTGCTGACCCCGAGCTCGGCTTGGACCTGGCCCGGCAGCCCCCGCCGCGGGTGCGGGCATCGTGACAGATTCCCCTGGTGGAGGTGCCCGTCAGGCTCTTCCAGGGGCTTGAGAAGCACGGCGTTTTCTGGGCTGTGACAGCGGGAGTTGGGAAGAGCACAGACAGGAACTCTTGGATTCATGTGCAAGGTGCAGCTGGACTCACCGAGGTGTGAGGAGGCTCCCAGCGCCTCCCCCGAGACAAGCGTTGCCAGCTATCAGGCAGTGTTGGCAACACGATTGCTCTCCATGGGAACAAACCGGCAGCACTGTCACTCCCTGCACCAGTCCTCTCGAGCTGACGGACACCAGAGATGCTTGTCCTTCGGCCTGGGGCTCTGCCCACCTGTCACAATGAGCTACGCACAGCAGGTTCGTATAATTTTTGGTGGTGCCCAGACCGGGTCGAAGTCCCGCCCCCCTCCCCACCTGCCAAGGCTCTGGGAGGGAGTTTGGGTGTGGGGCAGGAGGGAGTGCAGGGGGCAGGCTCTGGGAGGGACTTTGGGTGTGGGGCAGGGGCAGGGGGGAGTGCAGGGG